TAAAACTGCTAAGTTTCACAAACAGAGGACCTGTCTTTGACAGACTGCAGATATTTCAGTTTCAGGATGAATTGCAATATGAGACGTACAGTGGTTTTAGTCAGGGCCGTTTGAGGGGGGGACTTGAGCAGGTATCCAGTGTACAGTTCCTCCATCACTGGTTCATTGTACAATTTTGCAGTTGCTTCTGCAGAAACATAGTTAAAGCTGATTAGCATTAAATAGTGCTTCAATTCCATTTAGTCTTTAAGTTCCTTGATTATCTCACTTTTCCTAAGAGATTTTAGACTTACGTATTTTCTTGTTGTTGGACATCCTGATGTTGTAGCTTGAGTTCTAAAATAGGTGTGAAATGTTAAAGTTGTTTTACTGTAAGCCACTGACATATATCTGATAGACAGAAGTAAACAACAGTGATTTATGATTTTGTAAAATAATATTCAGTGCATTGTCACTGTCAGCAGCACAAGGCAATTACAATGCAATGGAAATGAATCCTCCACCGTATTTCAAGTGTGTAATAATATGTTATATAATAATATTGCATTACGTCTTTTGAATATTTCAACTCAAATTTTATTTCTCAGATGAATAGTTTCAGCATTATTTCTCTACATGTTACAAGCATCACAAAGCAGAATCATCACATCAGTAGTCGATTTCTATATTATTATTAGTTTACCTTGTGTCAGGGTAAAATAATGTCCTCTGAAAAGTATTCAGTTCTCACAATGCTAGAGGCTTTTTGTTTCTTCCAGAGTGATATGCTGTAAAGATTTGTTTCTGGTTATATGTGAGCCCAGGTTTAAGATCCCTCCCCTTTGACTCTGTCATTCATTTGGAGAAACTAGACAAACGTGTTCATGGCATTGAGGTATTGTGGAAAACATACTACAAAAAGAAATGTAGCTTCTGATGCACATGCAGTACGCTGCGAAACATGTACACATACAGTATACACTCATAGTCTTACACACAAGCTGGCACTTTCCCATGTATTGTGTTTTTATGCAGTTTTTTGCTTTTGTAACTTTTTTATTCTCCATGCACATGCACTCCTGGTTCCCCTTGTTTTTTCTGGTTCATTTTTTTTTTTTTTTCTCCAGACAATAGGCAGATGACCATGTGGTGACATACCTGCTAATTTTCTATTTATGATTGCAGAGGTTTGCTGATGTCTCTTTGACCCAAATGTCTGTGTGACAGAATTTAATTCAGAGGACTCAGCTTAAAGACATTATATGTATACTATGCACATTTGTGTACGAAATGCATGAGACACATTTTCAAGTAAGAAATGACAAAAAATTACCCTGGGATCCAACAGTCTGTGTGGACGATTATTTAAGATGGCAAAAAGATGGCAGTAAACCATTTGCCCATCTCCCAACTGCACAAATATGTTACATTGCTATTTAAAAACTAGAGACTATTTTAAAATAATTAAATCATATTGACTATTTTTAAAACAAATGATAAAAATTACAAAAATTAATACATTTCTGTAAAAGTAATCTCTAATAATATTGAAAATGTATGTATATTTATAAAATATTTATCAAATAATTGTAAAAAATGTTTCAAAAGTTTAATAATACTTCACATTGTAACAGTGTGCAAATACATGTTTTTCTACAGCATAATTCATGTATAAATTACGTAGGCTAGATAATCAGCAATCTAAAGAGTGACTGAAACATTTGAATCAAATCATAATGACTAGGAGCAATACATAATTGATTAAATGCTTTGCAAAACAAAATAGACAATGACAGAAAAGTTGTATATAAACAGTATATATAAAGTACCTCATACTGTTCGGATTGTTAAAAAAGTGCATCTTTAAAGAGGATAAAATACATGAACAGTTTTGAACTGTGCATTTTTCAATGTGAATTAACCTTCATACTTATTATAAAGTAATACTTGACTCTTGTTCTTCACATTAACAGATGTGAACTAATTTACCCACTACCACTCACAGTTTCATGTATACAGTCTAAATCTTACTAATTTCTTTCACTCAGTGACATTTTAAGGTGAGTGCATCTAACATTCACATTGTTTTACATATTTACATGATTAATGTACAGTCAAAAGAGAACAAGTTACTTTAGATAACCTGACTGCCTCTTCTGTTCTTCATTAACACCTTGTTTTACAGCTGTATTTCTAATATCTTGATGGTGCTGAATTCACATGCGATTTTGTTTCATGTCCCCGTTATGTTGGACAGGGTTCAGAGTGCAGAGGCTGGGATCCTATCAGCCGCCGAATAGTGAGTTTTACCTGCATGTAATTTCAGTAGCATTAATAATAGCTCTCTTAATGTAGTGACAAAAAAGCATTCTTTTACTGTGAATCGTCATCTTACCTCATCCTTGCTTAGTCTTCTTAAGTACATCTGTATCTCTTCTACTGTGTCTATAAGCAGGTCATTGAAGGCCAGGATCTGATCCCCCTTATGGAAGAGACACGAGTCCTTTTCTTTTATTAACAGAGTACATTTACATGCCACTAGGCCAGTTAAGGGGAAAAGTGCCCTCAAACACTTACAATGATGCCATACGCATGTATTCATTGCTGTCCTCTGCAGATTCATCCTGCATCTCATCCTTCTCATCTTTATGTTCAATAACTGGAATCTGCCAGGCAGAGGTTTGAGTTTAATCTTTTCAGGAAGTGTAAGAGCAATTATGTGCATATTGTATATTGAAGAAACTGTGTGTAAATGTGTAAAACCTTGAGTGCTACTGGTACTGGAGGTTCGCTGAGTTTGCGAGGATAGTCATAATGGCTGTACGGTGACTGGTAAGTTAACATTAATTCAGGTGCTGACCATCTGTCATCAGGCTGATCCTCAACCTTTGGTTCCGAGCTCTTCACAGGTTCAGATGCTGATCTAAATCTGTTGTCCTGTGGAAAAAGTAAAGCATGTGAGCATGCTTAAATGCTTGTATGTAAGTTGTAGATAAATATAAATCGTCAAGATGTACATTTCTAAACAAAACAAAACATAATAAAATATTTAAATTAATAATAATATTAAAAATAAAGATTTTAGCATTTTTTTATCACTACATAATTTCCATATTTCCTTTTGTTATTCATTATTCAGGAAATGGTAATGTTAAAAAATGAGTAGGCGTATCCACATTTTTGACAGGTAGTTTAGATATGCATACATGTGAAGAGAGAGATATTTTAATGTTTACCTGAAGGGTATTTTGTGATTTCTGGGTCTTCATTACCTTGACTAAGGCATTGAGCCAACCATCCACATCATCACTGAAAACACCAGAAAACCTTTAACACTAGTGAAAAACTGCATCAGGTGTTTTAAAATGAAAATTGTAAAATAAAAGATTTCTAGAATTATATTTCTAGTATATATATCTAATTTAAAAAGCAGAAGGATTAAGCGACTGCTTAAAGACTCCATGAAATCAATATTTCACTTTATGTTGTTGCTTTAGTTCTAAAATAGATGTGAAATGTTATTTAAGTTGTTTTACTGTAAGCCACTGATATATTTGATAAACAGAAGTAAACAACAGTGATTTATGATTTTGTAAAAAAGAAAAAAACATGCAATGTCAGCACAAGACCAATTAAAATACAATGGAAATGAACCCTGCACCATATTTCAAATATATAATACTTATGTAATGACATTGCATGATGTCTTTATGAATGTTTTAAACTCTAATTCTAATATTCACATGAATAGTATCAGCATTATTTCTATACATGTTACAAGCATCACAAGCAGAATCATCATATCAGTAGCCATATTCTATAATAGTATTGCCTTACCTTGTGTCACCGTAAGAAGTTATTCAGCTCTCACAAGGTGTATGTTATGATGGCAGTTTAGGAGGAAGCTAGAGGCCTTTTGTCTCTTTCAGAGTGTTATGCTGGTAAAAGGAGGAGTTATATGTGAGCTCAGGTTTAGGATCCCTCCCCTTTGATTGTGTCTGTTATTTG